TTTGGAAAAGCGGAAGCCTAACTGAATATTTGTCCTGAATTTTATACTAACTGAACTTGAAAAAGAAATTTAATTTGATTTTTTAAATAAACGATTTCACCGATTTACACGCGTTTTCCCTTGACCAAATTTTGACCGTATCACCCTTTAGTAGTTTTCCTTAATCGTGTCCTTCTGTCAGATATTCGAGAGTTGTTGCTGTAATTTGATTGGCATGTTATATGTACGAGTTGTATATTCATGTTTCAAATCGTGGTCATTGTGGGTAGCGGAAGTCATTGTGATGTTTTGTGAAAGATCTTGTTTCGTTGCGGTCAAGCAGCGTAATTTTTGGAAATAAAGTGAATCAATTGGAGTTGCGGTGGTCAGGGTTTAAGGTGAGGACATTAGATTCGGTGAAAGAGGCCAGCCTCACAAAGGAAGCCCATCAGTGCCGCAGTCTTGGCCGGGTCGTCGCTGAGTGCTTCTCTGATGCTGCCTGACATGTAGTAGCATTCACGGGACCCTCATATTGTGGGCAGTGGCTGATAACTATGGTCACTATATTCATAGTCTGGCTGATACAATGACGGGAGCCAATCGAGCATGATTGTTTTTCAGGTGGCAATTCATCAATCATCGTTTTTCGCGAAGACCATCGACTCGGCTAATGTTAAGTAGATGGTCCCTTGAATATCGAGTAAGTGAGTTGACTGTACATGCAATACAAACACAAAATGCGTATGTATTGTTGTTGTTTGTTTTTGGCCTTATCGACTATAGTCGACTATCGATAGTCGCTATATTTATAGTCTAAAGAAGAGAATCTCGGGAACCAATTGAGCTGTCAAATAACGGAACCAATCGAGCATATAACGATCAAAAACAGAAAAGATCACATCAGCTTTTGTGAACAAAACTTCGGAAACCCTTTTGTCGTGACTCAAGGCTCGACTACGCAAACCAACTTTATCATAGGTTTGCGGAAAGTTTCCCCTATCCGACGATGTTGTTAATTTGCGTTCGGTTGGCCAGGAAAGAACTCCAAGTTTTGTTTATAAAAGTAGATAGTAACTTCGCTTTTTGATAGCTCGAAATTCTGTCCGCCGGACTATAAATATATCGATTATAGTATGGACCGTATGGACTAAAGAGCCTGAATTTATAAAGAGATGACATCTTATCCATTTGACAGGTCTTCTGCTCGATTGGAATGACTTTTCCTATGACTTTGACAGACAATCGATTGTTCCCTGGGCTTTGGCAAAACCTTGAGGTAGTTTAATTAGGCTACCAGGTCCCAGGGCTGATCTGGATCTTTACCACATTGGAAAGATGCACACTAGTGTTGCCAGATCAGTGTTGATGCTTACCAAAAGCAAAGATAAATACTAAGATGAAACTGTCGGAAGAAAAACTTTTAATTTTAGTGTCCTCTTTCACGGTCCCTTTCATCCAATGAATACCCCCAGTATGCAAGGTAATTTTGTGGTTTTGCTGCCCCCTCGGTACAGATGAAATTTTGCGCTCTTTTTTATCAAAACAATCACACCAAAATCAGAGATGTCCCATTTTTTTGATTATTCGATTAACAACTAATCGATTATTTTTTGTTCGCTGTGATGTCATTTTTCCACCAATGAGAGTGCAGCACATGTTTGAAACGATCTGTGATGATCATCTGGAGAAGTTAATGCTTATATCGGCATGATATAACCGATTACAAATATTTTACTTTTTGGTTCGTTAATCGATTATTCGATCATTCGAATGAAAATCGGCCATCACTAGATGAATGTGAAACGTCATTTCAAATATAAGGACCGTACATAAATAATGATACAATTTGAAAGGGACCGGGACTAATCACAAATTACGTCCCCACAGTAACTGCAATAAACACGAGTGCTCACCGGTTGCCACTACTACTGGATTGTACCACATGGCAACACTACTTACTACTAGATTGAACTAGCATTTTCACCAAATGTACTAGAATGTTTTGGTTCTATCTCTTTCACTCTACTCAAAACTGAAATGCATAAAAAAATTACAAAATGATACGCACTCTTTGCACACTGTCAAAGAATCATTGTACACAAAATCAAGTTTGTTCAAATCAAAACGAAAAAACTAACTTTGTGGTGCAAAGAGTGCGTATCATTTTGTAATTTTTTTTATGCATTTCAGTTTTGAGTAGAGTGAAAGAGATAGAACCAAAACATTCTAGTACATTTGGTGACAATGCTAGTTCAATCTAGTAGTAGTGTTGCCATGTGGTACACTGAAAAATTGCAATAGCAGGTTAGTCACCAAAGTTTTCGAGCCGCTCCGTCTGTCACTTCGTTTGTGGTATGGACGAGTTAAGGGGGTACACGGTCAATCAGATCGACTCAATTTAAGCAATAGTGAATTTACTCGGAAGTAAGCTGAATTTTCCGGGCTTTTCCAGGGAGAGCTTCTCGGGTGTGGGTGGGGGGATCGGTGGATGTTTCACTCAGTCTATTAGCACAAACGAAGTGACAGACGACTAACTGGCGAAGAAATCAATTAAAATAATGTGGTTCACTGTAATAGAATTTTCTTATAAGCTTGTGCCATCAGCCACCAGATGGGCTAGTATTTTTGTTTTGATTTGAACATAGTTGATTTTGTGTGCAATATGATCTTTGACAGTGTGCAAAGAGTGTATCATTTTGTCATTTTTTTATGCATTTCAGTTTAGAGTAAAGTGAAAGAGATAGAACCAAAACATTCTAGTACATTTAGTGTTGCCATGTGGTACAATCCATTAGTAGTGTTGCCATGTGGTACAAGCCAGTAGTAGTGGTGTTGCCATGTGGTACACTGAAAAATTGCAATAGCAGGTGCGTCACCAAAGTTTTCGAGTCGCTCCGTCTGTCACTTCGTTTGTGATTGTACTTTTAACGTTACTTTAATTACAATTTAACAAAAACGATTAACTTTAACCAAAAATAATTTAAATTTTTGAATTTTTTTTTCCTTTATTTTAACATAACAAGAACTTCCAACGAAGTTTGTGATAATATAATTGAATCAATAAACATATTTTTATTTCGACTGCGTGAATTGTCATACACAGAAAAAAAAGTTGTTGAATATTACATCCTAATAATATTGTATCTGCTTTTTGCTATTACATCGTTATTTCATACATCAGCTTGAATTACGTTGATCGATATTACATTTGTTTTGCTGTGTACTTCATAAAATAAATATGATTGAATCAACAATAAATCTCTTTTAAAAACAAACATATTTTGTTGATGAACCAGCTACCAAATTTGACAGCTTACGTCATAACCATCATGAAAGCTCTTGTAAATTCTAAAAGATTTTCTTTTTGATTTAACAATCCATGGGTTTTAAGGAACAACAATACTGGATTGTTGAAACAATTATAATTTCTATTTGCAGCCAAAACAAAATGAAATTCTTATTGATTTTACGTCAAATATTATTACGTTTAAAATATTTTTTCCTGCTTGCATACAAAAAAAATTAAGATCCATACAAAAAATGTGACAAAGGGGGGAGGGGTGTTGAAAATGGGCCAAATTTGGGTGACATAATTCATGGACCATCCCTATATACAACGCACCCCCTGGGCAGAACGCACCAGCTGACTTTCATTTGTGTTTTTCATGGTTTTTACGTAACTTTTTTGTTGTCTTATCAAGCAGCACTTCTAGCATAGCATCTGAACTCAAAATCCTGCATGATAAATCCTAGAACTGGATTAAAAATTCCAAGAAAAACTCAAAATAAAATGAAAAAGTGCGTCTTACTCCGGGGGTGCGTTATGTACTGTTCTCCCCTACATCATTATTTCATACATCAGCTGGAATTACATTGATCGATATTACATTTTTTTTTGCTATGTACACAGAAAAAAAGTTGTTGAATATTACATCCAAACAGCTGCACAGAGATCATTCCGCCGGTTTATATTACACATGTACGATGTGCATCGATTTTCGAACAGAATTACGTCCATTGATGTAATATTGTATCTGCTTTTTGCTATTACATCATTATTTCATACATCATCTTTAATTACGTTGATCGATATTACATTTTTTTTGCTGTGTATGATTATCTTAAATAAATGAAAGCAAATTGGATGTATGTATTTGTATCACATACAATGATAGAAGAGCAATAGTTCATATCGCTTAACTCGATTTGTTTACATTTTTTACTTAGGACCTTTTGAAAAGTGACGCGAGATTTGTCAAAAGTTCTTGGTAAACAAAAAAAGTCAGCTGATCGCAACTGTCTCGTGGACAGCCTTATATAGAAAACTTATCGTTATACATTAATAGAGGTACGAAAATATAATTTTGTGTATACAGCTAGAAAAACTTCTTAATCAACGCAATCTAGTGATTGCGTTGATTAAGAAGTTTTTCTAACTGTATACACAGGTGTCAGGTTTACTAATGTCGTTTTCGTTTTTGCGGTGTAGCACTGGTGTAGTGTAAGCAGGAATAGACGAGTGCACGGATGGATTTGAGTTCACTCACTCGACAAAAAGTGACACAACAGCGGGGCCTTGTTTACTAGAAATGAACACATATGTGTTCATTTTTAGTAAACAGGGCCCCGCTGTTGTGTCACTTTTTGTCGAGTGAGTGAACTCAAATCCATCCGTGCACTCGTCAATAAGCGCGAGTCTTTGACAGCTCAACATCATTTATTTGTAAACAAAGGTGCATCCTATATCTACACCCTAACATATTTCGGTGTACGGCAGTGTAGCACCGGTGCAGCTACACCGCAAAAACGAAAACGACATAAAATTTAATTAGGTTTTGCACCGTCGGGGTTAACCTCAATCTGATGACAGTTCAATGGTACTGGTTACGTGGACTTCGTCGATTTTTTCTTGGGTGGATTTTCTCGATAATTTTTCTGTAAACCACACTTCTGCAATGTCCACGAGCAACATCCATCCAAGTCCACGTAAACAACACCACTGAACTGTCATACGATTGAGGTTAACCCCGACGGTGCAAAACCTTATAACGTAAACATCTTTCTTTTTTTATTCAGCATTAGAATGGCAACAATACCACCAGTAACGAAGATTTCTTCCAGGCTGATAAGAATTCTTGGATGTAATCCTGGCTCTATGACGCTTCAAGGAACCAACACTTATATTATAGGCTCGGGGAAACGGTAACCATTGATTAGAAAGTGGAATACGTATTTGCTAAATACCTAATCACATTAAATATGCTTCTGATCTCGCACCTATAGACGAATTCTGCTAGATACCGGCGATGAAAACGTCCCAGAATACATTGGACACCTGAAGCAGGTTATATCTGATGAGAAAATTTTAATAAACGATATCATCATCTCCCACTGGCACCATGATCACATTGGAGGAGTAGACGAAGTGCTCGATGTCATTGAGAATAAAGGTACCATTTCAGGGGAAACATGTTAGAAGGGTATAACTCGAAACGTAAACAATCACTTTGAACGTCGATTTCTCTTAAATAATGACCTTACACCCACGGAATCTGACTACACCGACTACACCAGCTCATAGAACAAACATTGCTCTGTCAGATGATTGATAGTTTGAGTGGGTGTATTGTCATTCGTAAAAAAACGAAGATCCAAGTAATTGTTTACGTTTCGAGTTAGACCCTTTTGACATGTTTCCCCTGATTAATACTAAATAGTTGAATGTTTGTAACCGTTTATAAATACACCTTTTTACAGATTCCTGTAAGGTATGGAAATACCGTCGAAGTGATGCTCCCGAAACAACTCTGAAAAATGCCAGAATTCTGGAATTGAAGCATGGCCAAAAGTTCAACATCGAAGGTGCAACACTGGAAGTTATCCATACCCCGGGCCATACTACTGATCACATCGTACTGGTTCTGCATGAAGACAATTCATTGTTTAGCGCAGACTGCATTCTAGGAGAAGGAACTACGGTTTTCGAAGATCTTTACGAGTACATGAAGAGTTTGCACATCATTCAAGATGCAAAGCCTACGGTTATCTATCCTGGGCATGGCAATATAATTTTCGTGAGTACTTGCCAATATCAACACATAATATAAACTTTTTTTAATACAACGGTGCCAACTATTCAAGGATCCGGTGGAACGCATTGCTCAATACATTAGCCATCGTAATCAACGGGAAGCGCAGATTATGTCAGTCTTCGAGAAACAACCAAGTGCTACTTTCGATGAAATGGATATAGTAAAACAGATCTATAAGGATACACCGGAACATCTTTGGAAAGCGGCAGCATATAACGTAAATCATCATTTGCAAAAGCTTCTCGTTGAGAAGAAAATTACTGAAGACGGGACTCGATGGAAACTAAAACCGCAGGCATCATTGTAGCACCCATGTTCATTTTTTTGATTGGGTATCGTTTAGGTACGATTGTTGAAATATTAAATCTGTTACTAAATTGGATGTTTCTCTTTGTTTTAAGACTAAGTTTTTTTTTTATATCTAGACCAACAATTATTGCAATAGGCGGAACAAGCAAACGTAAACAATGGCTTTAATCGCAAAATTTCTCGAGAATCAAAACACATCCACGCAATCTAACACCACCATCTGATAGAGCAAACTTCCTTTATCGAATAGTACCTATTTATAATTTGCATGGGAGTATTTTGATTCTCCAGAAATTTGCGATTAAAGCCATTGTTTACGTTTGGCTGTTCTGCCTATTTAAAATATTGGTCTCTACAGTCGACAGTACGGTCTCAAGCGAAGTGACTGGCGAAGAAATCAATTAAAATAATGTGGTTCACTGTAATACAATTTTCTTATAAGCTTGTGCCATCAGCCACCAGATGGGCTAGTATTTTTGTTTTGATTTGAACATAGTTGATTTTGTGTGCAATATGATCTTTGACAGTGTGCAAAGAGTGTATCATTAATTTTGTCATTTTTTTATGCATTTCAGTTTAAAGTAAGGTGAAAGAGATAGAACCAAAACATTCTAGTACATTTAGTGTTGCCATGTGGTACAATCCATTAGTAGTGTTGCCATGTGGTACAAGCCAGTAGTAGTGGTGTTGCCATGTGGTACACTGAAAAATTGCAATAGCAGGTGCGTCACCAAAGTTTTCGAGCCGCTCCGTCTGTCACTTCGTTTGTGCTATTAGTATACTCCTAGACTGGGTGAGATTTTCATGTACTTTCCTCATATTTGAGAGGTTTTTCCTGGTTTTCCACGGCTTTTGTCCGGAAAATTTGACTCACTTTTGAGTACATCTGGATAAATATTAGTAAAACTAGAAGAGAACATAAGAAAAGCGATACTGTCGGTAAGGTGTGCACCCAAGTGCAAGAAAATAGTCTTGTGGGGGAAAAGACATTACGATTTATCCCAGGTCACTAGAGAAAGTAGAAAATAACTGATAGATCTCTGGCGGAACGCTTCGGAAAAAATGGGGCACATGCTTGATCCAGTTTGGGTTACACATTATTGACTGCTTTAGAGAACGTAATTTCACTTTAAAAACTTGTTTAATCTGGGCTTAAACAATCGTCACGTCGTTCATAGCTTGTTATGATGCAAGAGACACGATATCCTGAACAATGCGTACAGAGCTAATTGAAGCAATGAACGTCGCGTGAAAGTGGAACTTAATGAAGGCCTAAGTCGCCTTTTTCGTCGCTTTTAGTTGCAGTGGCTTACTTACTGAGCAGAAAGACGCGGTTCCAGGTCCTTTCATATCAAAAAGATTTATGGTCATATCGCTTGTTTATCGTGTATTTTGCGAAATTGTCGTCGTCGTCGGTGCCAGATTTGAATGGTTACAACAACTAGAGTAACGGCACAGACAAACAGACATAACTCTCACCATCACATTCTTCGCAAATAAGGTTTTAGTTGAGAATGTGTTTGCATTTGTCATGGTGGCGCCACTGAAGCTTTAAGCAAGCCACTACATTTCAAACTTATCAGTGATGCCAGTTCTTTTTCAGGTAAATTTAATGTTAGCTCTTGATAATGATAAGGGCACCAAGGGATCCCTCTGGAGGTTACCTGTAAATTAATGATTACCAATTCGCGATATATTCCACGTAACGTTGACCGACAATACAAAATCATCCATGGACCTTACTGACTACCATAACCATTACCATTAAAATTCTCAAACCACAAGTAAAAATGTTTTAATATAGTTTTCTTTCCGAAAATTTATGGAGAAAACAAGAATTTTGAATGATAATGGTTCTTAACAACCCATAATTCGTAAGGTTCACTTCCAAAAAACCATAATACATAAGGTTAAAACTATATCACACAAACGTTCATGTAAAGTTTCATCAGGGTTGCTTCCACTCACTTGCTATAAAAATATGATTTTCTGAATTTTGAAATCATTCTATGTTATAATCATATTTTTTACTTGTTAGATACAAGAAGAGGTTGAAAGGCAAGTGTTTGACACATTAAAGCTGTCAAATTCGCTTTCAGACAGTCACAATCAGCGATTTTACAACTCGCGAGCGCTCACTCTGAGTGAACGCTCACGAATCATAAAATCGCTTATTGTAACACTATGGTAGCGAAATTGACAGGTTTTATGAGTCAAACACTTGCCTTTTATCCTCTTCTTGTATCTAACAAGCACAAAATATCATTATAACATCGAATGATTTCAAAATTCAGAAAATCATTTTTTTTATAGCAAGTGAGTGGAAGCAACCCTGGTTTCATAACCATTTCAGTTAAAGATTAGCAGGGATTATATTTTTTTTAAACCATTTTCGGTAAGGTCAAGATATGGTTCGCGTTTATGCGGGAATCAATACAAATCCCTGAAAAAGACTAAGTTTCTGTGAGTTTCTCCTACGGATCCGTATTTCTACAAAATTCAATTAATTTTTCTAGACCTTAACAAGTTAAGGAAACAGGATGCACTGGATGTCCACAACAGGTACAGGAAAACATCACATAGACGCTCTTATTCACACTAACTACTCAGGGGGTAGAAGGTCAAGAAGAGCCACCGCCGCCAACAAAAGCTTGAACCGGGTACCTGGGACTCCCACGATATATTTAGTATGTAATATGTTTTATTTGGATACACAAAATGTTTGAAGCCATGCGTCATCTAAACCATTATTTGCATCACCACAAATACACTTGTCAACAATCTTCAACTGGAACATGCTCACCAAATCACTTCACCCGGGAGCGCATTCCCGATGCTTCCACGCATATTTTTCTCTAGTCATCCCTAAACAATTCCTCCTCCAGCGACTCCAACCACACAACAACCAAATATCACTTTTGTTCGCTTTTCTTTTTCAAGTCACTCCGTGCACAAAAGCAATGCACATCGCAAAACCCTAACAATAGATCAGCGCCGTTCTCATCACCGCGTAAATAAACAGAAATTAAAATTTTCACACGCGATGCCACAAATGGCTGGTCCGGGAGAAACAATCAAACCACGCAGCGCCAAATCTTCTGATGCTTGAAATTTTGCAAACATGATGAATCATGTTTTCTTTCTCGATTCTAAAACTTCTCGGAAAGCGAGAAAACCACCACTCACACACGTATAACCGTCCGGGAGGCAGAGTGCCAGCGCTAATCCGGCAAATGCAGCCGAAAACTATGAAAGCGAATGCACGCACAAAACAGAGAACAAACTTAAAACACAACCGTATCCAAAGGCGATCGAAACTTTCGAACTGGCGCACTCTACGTTGGTGGTGCATTCTCAATTTATTTTTCTAGATCTACGGAAAATTTCGTAGAAACGACATCACTGACTTCTATCTGTTTCGTTTTTATTCAACACAGCTGACGCGTTGACAGAGCGCGGGAAAAGCAACTAGTGAAAAAATAGCATGAACGAGGGATGCTCCGGTTGCTAAACAATGCTTCGGAATGTGCATGGTAGAGGGTGCTAGCAACAATCAATACGAAACTAACGTTTTTAAATTGGCTCACCTCTTTAGTAGCCTATTGGTCCCAAGCAAACGATTAACGTACCCTATTCTAGTCGAAATTCTAGTACTACGCAATGTTTGTTTTGATTCGCTATGAAAGTTTGACAGATAAAATGAGGGGTTATTGGTTTTTCCTATGTTTCGAGGGGTGAATCGATTAGCTTGGGACCGAAGAGAGTACCAGAGCTGAGCCAAAAAGTTGAGCACGTTATTTCGGGACCTTCTAGTCTTAGAGTTACCTCTATGGTGCTAGCACAAACGAAGTGACAGACGGAGCGGCTCGAAAACTTTGGTGACGAACCTGCTATTGCAATTTTTCAGTGTACCACATGGCAACACCACTACCATAGAGGTAACTCTAAGACTAGTAGGTCCCGAAAAAACGTGCTCAACTTTTTGGCTCAGCTCTGGTACTATCTTCCGTCCCAAGCTAATCGATTCACCCCTCGAAACATAGGAAAATCCACTAACCCCTCATTTTATCTGCCAAACTTTCATAGCGAATCAAAACAAACATTGTGTAGTACTAGAATTTTAACTAGAATGGGGTTCGTTAATCGATTTGCTTGGGACCAATAGGCTAGTCAAGTAGTGAGCCAATTTAAAATCGTTAGTTTCGTATTGATTGTTGCCACTACTACCAACAATCAATACGAAACTAACGATTTTAAATTGGCTCACTACTTGACTAGCCTATTGGTCCCAAGCAAATCGATTAACGTACCCCATTCTAGTCAAAATTCTTCTACTACACAATGTTTGTTTTGATTCGCTATGAAAGTTTGACAGATAAAATGAGAGGTTATTGGATTTTCCTATGTTTAGAGGGGTGAATCGATTAGCTTGGGACCGAAGATAGTACCAGAGCTGAGCCAAAAAGTTGATTACGTTTCTTCGGGACCTTCTGGTCTTAGAGTTACCTCTATGATAGTACCAGCAACAATCCATACGAAACTATCGATTTTAAATTGGCTCACTACTTGACTAGCCTATTGGTCCCAAGCAAATCGATTAACGAACCCCATTCTAGTTAAAATTCTAGTACTACACAATGTTTGTTTTGATTCGCTATGAAAGTTTGACAGATAAAATGAGGGGTGATTGGTTTTTCCTATGTTTCGAGGGGTGAATCGATTAGCTTGGGACCGAAGATAGTACCAGAGCTGAGCCAAAAAGTTGAGCACGTTATTTCGGGACCTTCTAGTCTTAGAGTTACCTTTATGGGAATACTGCCCATAACCGCAAGTCAGTCCCATATGTAAAAAAAAAACTGGAAATGAGAAAACGGCGTTCAAAGTTTTCTCATTTTACACTTATTTTGGAGGGATAATTTTGAAAATAAACGTGCAATGTGATAGAATGCATCTATTTTTATTAAAAAATATTGAACGAAATAACGTCGATGGGACTTGCGGTTAGTCAGTCACAATGCCATGACCACAAACAAACTGACAGACGCACTGAACGAATTTGACATATTCCTGTTATGTGGAAGTCTAATAAATTTGCGCTATAAGATAATCCATTGAAAATGATATGATTGAAAATGTGTCAGGTAAATTCTATATGAATATCTGATACATTTACAATGCTGATAATTTGGTAACTTTTATATGATCGTCATATGATAAATGAAAATCGATCAAATTATAATAATTAACTGAAATGGATTTGAAACCCATAAGCATAAGCTATACTTTTCACCACAATATAATATATGTGTCATAAATCAATCGAAGTAAAGTTTATGTGAAAATAACATGAAATTTACTCCTTCTTTTGACACATATATTTAATCGATTTCTAAAAATAAATTCGAAAAATAAACATCAGGCAGTGGGAGCTTTCACAGTTGTACCTTTTTTTATTGTAGCTGATTTGGGATTCGATCAAGATCTGTTGAGGTGTGATGCTTTCGGTGTCTGTGCTGGATTCCACTGGGCCACGGCTGACTTCAAGATTGAGCTCGTTCAAATAGCATGAAGTAAGAACAGCTCTCCCGACATGGAATGTAGTGCAACTTTATGCTCGTTTTGCTAGAGTGAAGACAAATAGCACTGACAAATTTATGTTCCGTATCGGTGGTGTGGTTTGTTCAAATCTTTCTTAATGCACCTGTGTGCAATAAATCAACGACTAAATTATATGATTTGATAGAACTGGCTCATGAAGTTCGAATACTACTTAGTAAATATTACAGTAGAATCATTTTTTTTTTTCAATCTCAATACATTTTTTTCTGGAACCAATTATCATATGAAACAATAACAAACAAAGATTATTCAATACAGTATCATTGTTGTTAGTAGTATTTAGTTCAACTAATCATTTTAATTAACGTTAACATCGTTGAAAATTGTTTCAATAATTTATAAAGAACAATCATGTAAGATGTATTTTATTGGGAGCGATATTCATCCCAGAAAAAACATGCCAAAACAAATGCTTGCTGTTGGATTTCTTAAAAGGCATTTCTATATGACTATTTAATGATTGGGATAGATCTGTTTACAATCTTTAAACGTCAAAAATCAAAGCAAGCTATTACAATGAGATATACATGTTTTCCTATACTGCAAAGTTAAATGACAGTCCAATAGTTTCTACATTTACACGCGACATATCAACAAACGTCAAAAATCAGTAAAAGCAACTCCAATAAAATATACATGATTATCTTATAAGATATATCTTTTAGTGAGCAATATTCATCATGAAAACAGGTATATTTTACTGAATTATCTCATAGTGCAAACTTATATGATTTTCCATTAGTTTCTAGATGTCTGTTCCCACCCATAACATATCAACAGTTTTTCACCATGAAATATATCAGACAATATTCATATACTTCTTACCTTCGCTAACCACGTTCGAAGCAAAGTATTATCAAGTACTAAGTATGTGAAATTACGATAGAAATCATTCCATATCGCAGTCATAGTTTTTAAGTGATAATCCAATGGAATCTATCAATCATCACATAGAATGAATAAATCTGCTGACATTGCTATGTTATAAGATGGATCCAATAAACGGTACATGTCGATTTGTTTCAGTGCGGAGCGGCTCGAAAACTTTGGTGACGCACCTGCTATTGCAATTTTTCAGTGTACCACATGGCAACACCACTACTACTGGCTTGTACCACATGGCAACACTACTAATGGATTGTACCACATGGCAACACTAAATGTACTAGAATGTTTTGGTTCTATCTCTTTCACCTTACTTTAAACTGAAATGCATAAAAAAATGACAAAATGATACACTCTTTGCACACTGTCAAAGATCATATTGCACACAAAATCAACTATGTTCAAATCAAAACAAAAATACTAGCCCATCTGGTGACTGATTGCACAAGCTTCTAAGAAAATTCTATTACAGCGAACCACATTATTTTAATTGATTTCTTCGCCAGTTAGTCGTCTGTCACTTCGTTTGTGCCATGACGATGGTGCATTAGTTTAGCATATTATATGATAGTATTGAACAGTAGAAAGATATCATGGTCCCATAGAACGTTATTGAATGTTTTTGGAATCTTTCCACTGGTTCCGGAGCAATGATCGGAACATAAACCGGCGAGTATGGGTTTTGAGACTAGAAATTTTCAAAACCGTTCGAAACACACCATGCGATAAATCAATTCACATTAGAATTCGAAAATAAGATCAATAAGAGTCACGATGACTAACCAGCACCATGTTGGCCACACCCGGACATGTTCCTGGTATCCCCGGAGAAGTGGTAAAACCATAGAGGTAACTCTAAGACTAGAAGGTCCCGAAATAATGTGCACAACTTTTTGGCTAAGCTCTGGTACCATAGAGGTAAAACTGTTTTAAATCAAAATCCATCATGCGGCACATCAAATCACACGAGAATTCAGAGCTATAAGCATTGGCGGCCACATTCGAACATGTTCCGGATACCCTACCCTAGGAAATTGGACAGAATCTGTCTTGCGTCAAATCTCGCGATTCGATATGTTGTCTGACATTCTTAATTCAATAGAAGCAAGCCTAAAAACATAGCTAATTTAACTTTGTCTTGTTTTTAGTTTTTCTTGAACAAACTACCTTTTTTCAATAGAACAGCTCAAAAAACAAAGGAAGATAAACTGAATTATGATAGTAACTCAAAATTAATAAAAATACAGATGGAGCTGGCTTGCGATTACCGGTAGAATAGTTGTCCCGTTGATGAAGAAATAGGAGTACCGAGGGGACTGGTGACGGTGAGAGCAGATATGTACCAGCGAGCACTTTCCCACCGAACGTTTAAATCCGGCCGATGACGTCCATAGTAATTGATACCACTCTTATTGCTACTGGCATCTTCCTCCGAAGTGCCTTGATGGTTTTGCGGATGACTAAGATAACGGTATGGTCGGCGTAAAGAAAGATGTAGCTTTCCTTGGGAAGACTGTTCATCCGAATCAAGAATAGGGTAGCCGCGATGACCGACCCCTGTGGTACATTGGTCTCCTTTCGGAAGATAGCAGAACGGTGGTTTCCCAGGAACACCTGGAAGATGCGGTTAACCAGCAAAATCTTAACAAAATGCATCCAGTCCAGCATTTGACGGAATCAGAGAAGTCGGAGTCGGTCAATTAATCATGTTTTGTTGTTTTTGACATCATCCACATCCAGAGGGCCAGTCACTTCGAATCTATGGGAATGGTAGGAAACCATTTGGAAGTGCATGAAAATTTTCAGTTTTTATTCATTATCGTCTTTATGGGCAGTTTTAGATGCACAAAAATTGCACGAGTACATTACTATGGTTGTTTGAGCCGTGGGCTCTGTATTTGCTGGGATTCGGAGGTTTTTCTTCCCGTTCGTACCGCGAACGGCGCACAGAAACCAGAGGAGCACTTTAGCACCCGAAAAGTACTGCTGCTACTCCACCTTCCCAGTAGAAGATGTGAGTTAGCCAGTCAGTCACTTTCCACTAACGTTGGAGTCCGCGATTTTCACGTTAATTACGCACGGACACACGATTGATCAAAACCTGATCACACTGACGCGATAACATCGATTTCGGATCACAAGCAAAATTTCGATTTCCACTTCACTTTCCTTTAATTTATTGCAACCGACGGATGGTTGACGATCGAGGAATATAAATTAAAAGAACACCGACAATAGATGTGGTTGCGCACGCTTGGGGTATCTATTTGCTACTACTCGTATTGTGTGTACAATTCGGTTCGTTTGGTCAAGTGCAATGATTGACCATTGGAATGAGATCATTCTCTCTCGTGAGAATCGGTGATCATCTTCATTAGACTGGTTCACAATGTTAATTCATGTTTATATAAATTTAGTTGTAGTTTAGTTTAAGATCACTAGTTTTAAGATTTGACTTTAGTTTTAGCCTTAAGATTAGGATTAGGTATATACAATATTTACAACACTAAAGATTTTATTATAATCAGTGGCTACTGATCAATGGTGATAAGGTAAACACTCGTTTATTTGTTTACTTCTGTGAATGCATGTTTAGTCACAAATCGTGGATTTTCTGATATTCTCCATACTGCAAAAATGATTTTCCTACCACTGAAGGGGCGACATCTCTCGGATCTTCAGTATAGCTACTACTCAAATCATATAATTAATTAAGATCCGACTCTACAGCCCTGGTTTGAATACAAGTGAACTGGCGATAACCGAGTGGCAACCGTGGCGGTTAATCATGCTCCCAAACAAAAACCAAAAGTAACTAACGCACGTCGCGGTTTATCATAAACTGTTTGATTGAAAAAAGCTGTAATGGGGACTTTGTCAATTAAAAATACTAAGTAAGTACATATGCTTCTATTCATGTGTATTTATTTAAATTTGCATTTTCCATCTTTCTATTGGTCAAGCTATCAGTTGCTTGCATAAGTTCTGAAAAGAGTATCAAAACTAACTTCAGTCAAACATAATAAATGCACAAACTAAATTCTCGAGTAACACTCTCTTTTATTACATATAATCGGTACCTGTTAGGCCTCGAGTACATATTACGTAACGTATCAAGGGGGGGGGGGGTCAAGTTTGTGTTACTTATTGTTACATACTGAGGAGGGGGAGGGGGAGGAGAAATGTCACGTAACAGATTGACCAAAGTGAAAAAAGATAATTTGCTGTTAAATAAATCGCGACCCTTACATCTAAATAAAACTTTTCAAACTGTGAATAAATGGGGGTGGGGTCGAGTGAAGGGTTTTGTCAAGCGCAACTAATTGTTACATAGGGGGAGGGATTTTTTGTATTACGTAATTTGTGTACCGTGCCTTATAGCTGAACACGGTATGAATTTCATACCGTTAAAAATAAATTGGAAAAACACACTAACAACCTAACTAAAACTGTCATCTGATACGACTTCTCTTTGCATAAGGTACAACGGGGCAAGTTGAAATGCTCGGGACAGTTGAAACGGAAGACGTATCTCTAGGTGGAACTGAATAATCACTTTGGTTATTTTTAATCCAGTAGTTTGCGCAACTGTGTTACCTAACCTACCTAGTATCTCACTTTCCGGCAGGTTCTTTCAAAAATTTGGTATTTTGAAATCGTAAAATTGAACATAGGTATGTGTAGTTCTGTAGCGAACGTTTAAGCTCAATTGATCTTAAGAGAACAAAGTTGCAACATGTCAAAGTTGACAATTTTGTATGAAAATCGACATACGCTGCTATTATTTCGAACAGTACTGTATATTCTTTATGAGACAGGTAAGACGGTAGTACTGAATGCCATTCAAAAATTAGCACTTCCGCTTATAGATACCCGTTCCAACTTGCCCCGGAGCACCTTACGTCAGCTATAGAGACGACCTTTATCTATAAACCCCCGATCCACCATAAAATTTGAAAACCATTCCTACTAAAACCAAACCCAGATTTGGTACCATCCAGCCACGCTTATGATCTGTAAATAAAGATGGAATTCTGTGTTATGCTACAAAAAATTTAAGTCGTGTGGCCGGGTGGATCTTACATTATTTCTAAACTGCTATCGCTGTTTTTCAACACTACATCATTCTCACTGGATCCGGATCCGGAGCCGGTGTCGTTATCATCGATCTTATCCGGTTCACCTTCGCTGTTTGGTGTCCGTTCCTCTCGCTGGGACTGGGACTGTAGTTGCCAGGCAGGAATGGAAGGTGGCACAACTGGTAGATTGGGCGAGGCGAATTGTTTTCTGTTCGAAAAAGATCAAAAAATAATTCCACTGATGGCTCAGTTGAGAATGTAAATATGTACCTATTTAACAACAATCCTTTGATCGAGTCCAGGTCGGATTTGAAGTTTGTCAATTCCTTGGTGCTCGATTGTGCTTGATGTACTCGAGCTAGTTCGTCCTTGATTTGGATCAGCTCGAAATTGATGCTATCAATCTTTACCTCGACAGTTTGGTTGAGTTCGGAAATTTGCTCCTCCACCGGTTTTTTCTTCTTTCCCCGGAAGATGAGTGGCTCGATGAATTTCTATAGGAAGAGTAGATTGACTCACTAATTTAGCAAATGAGACATGAAAACTAAAATTCATGAATAATACCTCATACTGAAAGCAATTACATAAATGAGTACAGTGATGTATCGCTCTTTTGGGACATTTTTTATTATTTTTAAGTTAAGAATACTAACGTTAAATTCAGTTGAATTTTTAGTTCAAATAGATAGGTAGCTTTACGGTGCGGAAATTTTGCGTTTTTTACTATGGATTAACTGAAAATTCAACTGGATTTTACGTTAGAATTCTATAATAAAAAGTAATGAAAAACCCCCAAAAGAGCGATCTATCACTAACTGCTGAGACACTGACCAGTAATTTACATTGGCGCGAAACATTTATGGTTAAGTAGGTCCGTACATAAAAGCATCAATATTAGTGTAATGAGATAATCGTTTGAGTTTTTAATATCAGAAACAAGAACATGTGAATAATTTGCATAGGAACAATGAATGCGATAGTGAAGTTATAACGAAGCAACGAAAACATGGTAGAATTTAGAGTGCATTGGCCGAAATCAAATATGCTGTCGTAGTAACATAAAAAAAAACTTTATTAACAACAATAACGTATAGGTAAACTAGGAGTGAGAATTCTTATCAGATAGCAAATTATAAATTAATCATAAATCATCCACCACCACTACCACCCAACCACCGGGTGCAGAACTTTCCGTGCAACATAAGCTTTTTTAGATACCTTGTAGAAGAGATAGACGCCATACATGAGCCCACTGATGAGGGCCACCGAGCTGAGAACCTCCTTAACCCTGCCGAACCACGAATGCCGCGACTGGATGACGTAATTTGCCTTCGGATAACCCGCTGGACTGACTCCCATGCTAATCACCGTCTGGCTTTGGATGTTTGGATCTTTGGTGAATACTCCGGCTCGTTCACAGGCCAGCTGAATTTCTTCTTCCGTCAGGCCCTTGGACCGGAGGAACGATTGTTTCTGATTGATGGCGCTGCGCATTACGTTGGCGTTGTTAAGAAATTTGATCGCTGTGGTGATCTGTAACATTTAACGAGCAAGCAAGCACCATGTGATTTCATTCCAGAGCCGAATAGGACCTCGTCAACTTACCAAATGTTCCCTGGGTGGCACAAGTGGTGGAACTGGTGGGTTCACTGGTACCCCCATTGCTTCAGCCGGAGGAGACTCCTGGCTTTCGCTCATGTTGATTTCTACTGAAAGATTAATCTTGGATGACGTTCGAGAGAGCTGACCTTATAGGTTTTACACCACACAGACAAACGATAATTTTGGTGTAGTTGTCGAGGCTTATAAATCCTTTTTTTGTCTTATCAATCAAGCAATTAACACCAATGATACACAAAATAAGAAGCGTAGGATTAGATGATGAATGGTTTGTCTGGTTTCGATTTCGCAATTGAAAAGTTTTGTTAATTTAATTAGCTGAGTAACATTGAAACATAAACTCTTATTTCGTTCACTGTTCACAATATTTGCACGTTAGTTAGTGTTCTTACTGTCACGTCTTATATTCTGTTGGAATTAGTTTAAAACATTAATTACATACAGAAAATCACTTTTTGGTGAAAACTTTGAACTCTCGGGATAGGTTTATTTGTTTGACATTTAGTCGTGTTTTTTCGTCTGACAATTCGTGCACATGATGTAACGTCATAGCGTCTGTGGGGATTACGGGTAAAATGGCCTTAACTGGGAGAGCATTTTTAGAAAATTAATTACTTCGTTCATGTGTTTCTCTTATACATTTTTGCAAAAACATCAGCCTTATACATTCCATAAGACAAATCATATAGGTCCTATAAGAATGCATAAACTGTATGTGTGACAATTTATTCATTTCATTTCATAAAAATGATCTTCATTACCTTTTTTGCAAGGCATCTGCTTATTAGAAATTTGCCAAAAAGTTTAAAGGGACTTCTGTCCGTAAAGAATGATTACAATTTATATATTTTAGTATTATTTAGTAACTGGTGTTCAATTCAACATGAATAACATTAATTGATAAAGTTTTGCTATGTACACATTAAAGTGATGGACGGTGGTAGAAAGGGCACTCTTTAGTGATGCATTACCACGTTTAAAAACTTGTTTCCAGCAAAGAAAAAATCAAACTAAACAATCAAACCAAATCCCTAAAAAAGACTATAGCTTGACCTCACCGAAAATCTCGCCGAAAATGGTGAAAAACTTGTTTATAATCCCTGCTAAACTTTAACTGAAATGGTTATGGAACTTTACATGAACGTTTGTGTGATAAAGTTTTAACCTTATTTGTTATTGTTTTTTGGAAGTGGATCTTACAAATAAGGTCCCTCCAGTGACAAACCGACATGACACTTAATTTTTACTTAAGTCCGACAATCGTATACACAGAATATTACATCCAAACTGCTGCAACCAGCTCAATCCATCGGTTGTGTAATATAACGTTGTACGATGTATATCGATTTTGCGAACAAAATTACATTCATTGATGTAATATTGTATCTGCATTTTGCTATTACATCATTATTTCATACATCAGCTTGAATTACATTGATCGATATTACATTTTTTTTTGCTATGTAAGGTCGATTGAAATGTGCAGTGATTCGAACTGTCAAAACCATAGGATTTTTTGATCTAGATAAAAATAATTTGTCCAGAATAGATCAGACAGGAATCAATTCATAACTTTTGAATGCGGGTTCATCACCGACAAACCGACATGAAACTTAAACTTAACTTTCGCTCAAAAATCTATAACGGCCGATTCAAATGTGCAGCGATACCATCTGTCAAAACCATAGAAACTGTTCATCTAGATAAACATAAATTGTTCAGAATAGATCAGACACGAACCAATCCATACATTTTGCACTCGTGTTCATGGTTTAGATAAACGTTTTCCGCGAACACGGAGACAGATGTCGGTAGTGTGCTTTGAAAAAAATTCGTCGTAATTTATATGGTCATTCATGTCGGTTTGTCGGTGGGTTCATGCCAGAATAAAAAAAAATATTATAGAAAAACAATACAATTTATTGTAACAGTACTATTTGGAACATTATGATTACCATAAAAGCAAAGATATCTAATTAACAAGATATCCCACTAATCAATTCCTCATACAAGGCATATAATTACCACCCGTATGTGATCGCAGTGCCATCTGTTGAGTGCTCATTGAAACTGTTGGGAGTTCCCCGCCAACTTCACCACCTGGGCTCAATAACTGACAGGTGTCAGCATGATAGATGTCAATGCGGACGTTGATGATCAGCCGAGGAAAGAGGACGATATCATCATCGAAGTTTTCATCATTGTATTGCGATAGCAAGATTCTTACTTGTTTATGATTTTCAATCATTACCACTTTATACGCAACAGAAACACTTGAGAAAACAATCACACATTCAAGCACGCATCATGATGTGCTTGTAATATGTTTTGCTTTCGAGCGAAAGAGTTTCCAATACACCACCGGGATCAGTAAGATGTTAATTTCTAATAGTAATTGATGATTTGCGGAGTTGGTGCTCAAAAGAATCATATTAAGCATAGAAGTAAAAATGGGAAAAGCATTCATTCTCTCTAAAGAATTATTCCAACACCCCAGTCACTGGAAATGCAACGTATCGAAATCATTGCTAAACGTAATAAAATATGCCGTCTTCTTTGGCCAACGCAGCACGCATTCTATTCAAAAATTACATTGGAATAATCATTACTTTCCTATTTTATAACGTAGGAAGTATTTGTCAACGCCGGTGAAAGCAAACGCAAACGGAAGTAGCCGAAGCTGAATGAAGACGATGAGTGATGGCAACGCTTCGTGTTTTGATTTGCGCTGTACCGTCCGCTCAGTTGTGTGGGTTCGTACATGTATGATGTTGGTGTGTGTGTTTTCTTCCAACGCTGCAGTTCAAAGTTGTCTCGTCACAAACCATTTGGCGCTGTTTACCTGTCTCCAAAAAATCCAAAGAGTGAAGGAGGTCTGATAAAAGCTATTGTAATTATAAAAATAAAAAGTAGAAGGGTCTGTGCCTAGGGGCACGAATGGAAGCTTGACGTAGGACCGGTAGTGGACGGAACAAATATGTTGATCATTTAGTTCTTAGCTCTTTCCGTTTTTGAATTCGTCGTCTTCGTATTGGTGCGATGCGTGCTGTTCCACTCATACGTCGTGTCCGACGCTTATTCGTACGTTGCTCGAAAGCAAATGACGAAGAAAACAATATGGAAAGCGTTTTTATCATCACTGCTTTTCTCCTCCCTTCCCTTTATTGGTGAAAAGATGAGCGGTCCACCGAGCATTGAGCTCACAAAACTAACGATTTTAAATTTGCAAACTTCTTGACTAGCCTATTGGTCCCCAGCAAATCGACTAACGTACCCCATTCTAGTATAAATTCCAGTACTACACTATGTTTATTTTGATTCGCTATGAAAGTTTGACAGATAAAATGAGGGGTTAGTGGATTTTCGAGGAGTGAATCGATTAGCTTGGGACCGAAGATAGTACCAGAGCTGAGCCAAAAAGTTGAGCTCGTTTCTTCGGGACCTTCTGGTCTTAGAGTTACCTCTATGCTACTAGTCTTAGAGTTACCTCTATGGTGGTATGTCTGTTACGGGTTAGTCATTTTTTTACTGGTTATGGATTGAGATTCGGTCCGGAACTTGTGAGAATTCTCCCCTCCCAACTCCCCTGCACTCGATCTCCCTAGGTCACGTCTCCTTGGTGGTTGAGCGTCGTTGATAAGTTAATGCATTCGACTGGAGAGAATCGCCCATGAAATATGCTTCCATCTGAGAGTTCCTTCCTAATATCTTCAAGTGGTGGATTTTTTTTTATTATTATTGTATGATTATTGACTGCACGGAAAAGGTCTGCATTAAGCGGGATTTAGATGAGGCAGGTGAGTTGAATTCAACTCAAACCGATCTGGTCGTAGGCGTTCAATTGACTTTGCAGCGAATAGAGTAAGTCCGATACCGGTCAGATTTCTGGACGTTCATATCGCAGTTCAAGCATAGAGTAACTCTGAGACAAGAAGGTCCCGAAATAACGTGCTCAACTTTTTGGCACAGCTCTGGTACTCTCTTCGGTCCCAAGCTAATCGATTCACCCCTCGAAACATAGGAAAAACCAATAACCCCTCATTTTATCTGTCAAACTTTCATAGCGAATCAAAACAAACATTGCATAGTACTAGAATTTCGACTAGAATGGGGTACGTTAATCGTTTGCTTGGGACCAATAGGCTAGTCAAGTAGTGAGCCAATTTTGAATCGTTAGTTTCGTATTGATTATTGGTTCAAGTGAGTTGAACGCTGAATTGAACCATCTTAACCCAGCTTTAGATAGGGTCTAGGATAAGCGATGAGCGGACGCGGACTGGCTGATTTTGAGCCAAGCGAACTGTCAAAGCCAGAGCCATACGAGCAGCGCCTATCTTGATTACATTGGCAGTGTTGCTGACCCTCTCATAGCATACACAGCAAAAAAAAATTAATATCGATCAACGTAATTCAAGCTGATGTATGAAATAATGATGTAATAGCAAAAAGCAAATACAATATTACATCAATCGATGTAATTTTGTTCGCAGAATCGATGTACATCGTACAATGTGATATTACGCAACCGATGGATTGACCTGGTTGCAGCAGTTTCGATGTAATATTCAACAACTTTTTTTGCTGTGTAGAGGTAACTCTAAGACTAGTAGGTCTCGAAGAAACGTGCTCAACTTTTTGGCTCAGCTCTTCGGTCCCAAGCTAATCGATTCACCCCTCGAAACATAGGAAAATTCACTAACCCCTCATTTTACTGTCAAACTTTCATAGCGAATCAAAACAAACATTGCGTAGTACTAGAATTTCGACTAGAATGGGCTACGTTAATCGATTTGCTTGGGACCAATAGGCTAGTCAAGTAGTGAGCCAATTTAAAATCGTTAGTTTCGTATTCGTATTCGTATCTATATAGAGTTGTTCATTATTGTTCATGATCGAATCATGTTAACAATAAATTAAATGAAAAATACGATAAAAATCATTGTAACAACCTTTTATTATGTACATTCATTGTACAACTAGGTAGCAGTTTTGCCGTTTTCGGAAGGGTACAACATTATAACGATGATTTTTATTGTCGACAATAAATATTAATGTTAGAGCATTGTTTCCACTGAAAATTTCACTTTATTTTTTTTTTTCGGGCTATCAACTCGAGTATTTTTGATTCATCTACTCGACTTGAAAAGTTGTATTTTGTATTTTTTTTTTCGTATTTATGTATTATTTAGATTTGTGTTTTTTTTTTTTTTTTTTTTTTTTCAGTGTTCACTCGGCTGTCGACAAAAGCAGGCCACTCTGGATGTGTGCTACGCGATCGTCTGTTTTCTCGGCAGCAACCATTGTGTGGTCCTTCTCATTGTTCTTCATCAGCAGTTCTTTCGGTCGATGCGTCGTCGACTTTGGAAAGCAACCGTTTCGTGATGAGTGTATGAGTGCTGACCACGTTTTGCGTCCATTGCTGCAATGGAAGCGCTCTGACCCTCGTTGGCGTACTACAATTTGCCATACAATGAAACTACTGGAAGCGGCTCCAGTTCTGATGGAGGAGGCTTTTTGGATAGCGGAAGATAAAGTGTTTATTGTGTTGTACCTTTTGACTATAGTTTTAAAATGTATTGTATAGTGACCAAGAATCCTCGGCTCTGTAAAGTTAATTCGGTTGAGCCTTATCAAATAAATTAATAAACAAAAAAAAAAAAAATTTGTGTTTTTTTGTATTAAAGTGAATTCAATTCATTTTGAAATGTATTTTTCCTGTACAAGGTATATTCAATGTTTTTTTGAGTACTTTTATGGGTATTTTAGTTTCATCGTGTACACATTTACGTATTTTTTGAGTATTTTCCGAAGTGTGTATTGAAAATTCAGCTGATTTATGAAGTTGATCGCCCCTCGATTATTTCCCGCCACTAGTGACGCATAAATTCCTCTTGAATTCTACTATTAGGGGTATCATACTTTTTTATCCGGGAACCGCCGGGTTAGCGGGCGGATACTGTAGTAAGTTTAAAGAACTCAACCGTTGGATTGTTTTGTATAGCCGTGTACATTTTTCGTAACGCTAGTGCTAGCCATTGTCTTTTGGAGCATTTGCAGACCCCTTGTTATTTGATAAGCGCATCGCATTTTTAAAATATAAACAAAACAACGTGCCAACAAGAGTGATCAAACTTTGTGCGTCTCGCGCCTAGAATTTTAAAAGATGAGTGAATCAGTTGCATATACTTTGCAGTATTCATGTGATTTTGCCATACTTGAGATACAGATTCCGGAAGTAGATTTGGAACATGAAGATTCAATCGTCCTTGAAGTGCAAGAAAGAGAACTGGTGTTCACTGTACCACCGTATCATGTGCGGTAAGTTTGCTTTGTATCATTATTATACAACAAAAAATGCCCTCCTTTTATTGTGAATCCGTGATTTTTTTAGGATACCCACAGAGCAGGATCTACAACCGATGGAAGTTTTCCCAAAAAATATTGATTATGAGAAAGGAATCATAGTTTACAACATTCCATTGAGCAAACATACTGCAGATGAAGGAAAGCTACCTCAAGCCTCCCATTCTTATGGATTTGGTGATTTTTACTCTGGAGCTCTGAACATTGTATGTAATTTAAAAAAAAAGCTTCTTTGTGTTATATTTATATTGTTTCTTGTTTAACAGGTAAACAGTCAGGATTTCAAATCCTTATCCAATCCAGAAGCGTATTCCAACGAGCAAAGAAAGAACAAACGCCTTGCAGATGAACGGCATGATTTCAATCCCGAACACTTCGGAATGGACCACGTGCAGAACCTGATCGATGGATTTGGGTTAGATACGGTCGATATTCCCACACAGATCCGACTGACAAATGATCAAAAGTATCGCATCAAGATGATCATAGATGAGAAGAAACGAGAAGTGGACAAATATCAATCACTTTGCAAGGATGAATCTATATGCACTAATCTAGTGGATATCGTTCTTGCCGTACTGTACGACCAGCTGGTTAACAGCAATGAGCTGAACGAAGCGATATCTCATGTCAACATTCACCGCATTTCAAGTAGCTTGTCATACTTTGAAATGTTTTCCTCTCAGGAAGATGTACTTGTTGCTTTCTACAGGAGATGCTGCATATATCCTCTGTTTCGAAGTAAGAGTCTAAGTCGAAAGTGTGTTGAACAGTTCATAGATGCTACAAAGCAAGAGTTTGCATTGGAGTGGTTCCTGGATAAATTATTGTACTGCTACGATGCTTTCAAAGCGAACGAATGCGTCGTGCTGAACCATTACTACATCAAAGATTGCATACGGTTCGTCCAGATTTGTACTCCTATCGAAATGCTCCGCAAAACTGGTAATGCTATCGAAAAGGTTAGACAGACAGTAAGATAGTTTATGTGCATAATCAATCTCTAACATTTTAATCTTCCAGTTGCTTCCGTTGGTTCATGACAGATCGTTGGGTTTTGGAGAGGAAGCGATGGCAAGGAAATTTGTGCGTGACATCATAGGAGCGAATGAAGATTCGACCGATTCGGATGACACAAGCGGATCAAGTGACGCATGGGAAACAGAAAGCGATAGTAGTGATGACGAGGCTTCTCGAACATCACCGGAAGAAAGTGTGTTGGACAAATTGATGAACTTGAAAATACAAATTTAGAACTGCTCGTTGATTCCATTTACTTTTTAGTGTTTTATTTCATTCAATTAAATCGAACAAGCCACACAAAATAATCATCATAATACTGTTGTTATGATTGCCTATCGTTAGTTTCGCTTCTTTCGATCGTTCATTTTTTTGGAAGGTTTCTTGGATTTCTTTCGGCAAATCAGTTTAACGAGTAAATGAGCAACAAGAATGGGTACCCCTATGAGCAAACCCAATACATCCAGATTGTGGTACTGTACCAAGTTAAGATCCATCGAGGCAGTCCGAATGTGGGGCGCACCTTTGTGACGGAGGACATATTCCGTCCAATATACAGCCAGGTCGAGAGGGTTTATAGGTTGGTCACGGTACCGCTGAGATATAGCCTGTGCATTAACTTTGAACTGCGGGTCATGCAAGATCGTATTGATCGCCGTAGAAACTCGTTCCTCGGATATTTCCGCATATGCAACAGACAATCCGTAGCCTCCACGCTCTGCGTTGGCCATATTCAGGTATTGATCGCCAAAGACAGGAATTCCGATGACTGGCACTCCGTGGTACAACGATTCCGTAGTGCTCAGAAGTCCGCCGTGAGTGATGAAGAGTTTTACGTTGGGGTGTGCCAGGATATCATCCTGAGGCCACCAGTTCTGAACGAGCACGTTCGATGGCTTACCTGGAAGGTTCTCATCCTCCCATTTCCACAGTACTTTCTGTTTGAGTTTCGAGAAAACTTTCAGGAATGCATCGCGTTTCTCTTTTGGCAGATCTTTGCCCTTGATGTTTGATCCCATTGAGAAGTAGATCACCCCGTCGGTGGCGCTATCCATGAAACTTTGAATATCAGCCGGAAGTGGGTTCGGGACCCGATTGATGTGCATTCCGCCAACCTCGATCATACCGGTAACGTACGGTCTAGGATAGTTGAAGGAAAAGTGGTTGTTTAGCAGCACCAGTGAAATAGCAGTTTTCTTCAGCTGGTCGAGGGGAGGTTTTGGATCGGGGAATGCCTTCATGTACATTTCAGTTTGGGCAGGTTTGTCCAGAATGTGTTCAACGATGATGTCCGTACCGCTCGTCAAGGTGTTGATCATTCGTTCCTTGAAGGTCATTCGATCTGAAAAACCCAGGAACGTATTCGGGACGTAGGAAGGAGGTGATGGAGATCCCACCAAGTCAGTGGTCCACTTGGAGGCTCCAAATGTGGACATTCCGATGCACGGTGCCTTGAAGAGGTGGCAGAAACCTAAAAATGGAAAATATATTATAATAAGCTATGGATATCTCTGCTCGGTGTTAAGCTAATATGCGTAAGGTTCCACAAGTAATTTGGCCGAATGGGTCATTTGATCGAATAGTTTAGTAAAAAAAAAAATTCTCATCAGTAAAACAAAATAACAAATTCGCCATTATAATGTCTGTAGGAACACCTTCATTCGCTGAAATGTCTCAGATTGTGAAAGATGGAAACGTTAATGTTCAGGATGTTCTTGATACTTTTCAAAGTTACAATCGATTTGCCTAAATGCCATAATAATCAATCTAAGCTATATCGTTTGAAAAACATTTAAAGGGTGTCCACGATGAAATTGCCACACACAAAATTGATTAGCAAAATTCGAGTTTTCATCGAACTTTATTCCTAGAGCCTAGCCTTTACATTTTAGCCATATAGTGTCTTCGGAAAAAAAAATGTTTGTATGAATATCTTACATAATATAAAACTGTCAAAAATTAGTCATGTCTTACTATGCAAAAATAAAAACACTAACTTTTTTCTTTAACGATAAAGGGGAACGATGTCTTCAGCAAAGTTGTAGACAATGTAAAAACAAGCAACTTTATTGAAGACTTCAAAATTCTAAATCCTGTATTTTCATAGTTATGGAGCTTTTTCTATGGAAGTGGTGTCAGTTTCTCACTAAATGAGTTCAAATTTTGGGAGGCAAATCAGGGCCCAATTTGGAACCGTTTGAGGACTGTGGAGCGGAAATTTCAAATTTTGCATCAGTCTAATGCACATATTATGTCACGCAGTAAGGGGGGAGGGGATGTTTATGATTTTGTGACAAGCAATGCGTTAATTATAGTAAAAACATCACGAAAGGGGGGGGGGGTAATTTTTCCTCAATTTAGCGTGACATGAATCGCCTCTAAACAATAAGTCCGCCATAAATCTATGGTGGGACTCAAAATGATTAAGCACAATCTCCTTTAGGCCTACGTTCATCTTGCTATAAAAACTATCTTTCAAAACTTCGCGGAGAACGCAAGCACGCTCATGCAAGCACCCCAAGTAACATTGCAAGTTTTATCGAAGTTTTAAAGCATTCTACAAGGCTAAGCCATGATCTACAGAAACCTCATAAAACCACAATTTTTACTTGAGACAAGAGTAAAGACGTACAACGCAACGTGACCATCAAACCAACACTGAAAGTAACAGCACCGACAAACCGACATGAATGACCATACAAAGTACCATCAAATTTCTGATCAAAGCACAAAACTGACATCTGGCTCCATGTTCGCGGAAAATATTTAGCTAAGCCATGAACCCGCATGCAAAAGTTGTGAATTGGTTCGTGTCTGATCTATTCTGGACAAATTATTTTGATCTAGATCAAAAAATCCTATGGTTTTGACAGATCGGATCACTGCACATTTAAATCGACCGTTTACGATTTTCGGGCATAAGTCAGAATTAAGTGTCATGTCGGTTTGTCGGTGGTAACAGTTCCTAGTGGGACTAACATTCGTAGAATATCCTACTTCATTGCAAATTTCTAGGTATAACAGTCCCATTAAATATTGTTCGTATAAAAATAGGCTTAACTGATTTCATTGAAAATAATTTCTGTAGTTTTCACTAAAACATATTGGTTCTGTTGAAATGTGAACAATGCGGTAACTTATTTTAACATATATATATATCTTCCAATAAGCAGAAATGATTCGAAACATTATTTGCGATTATCTCAGAAGCAACTTTTGAAACATGGGACTGATATGCGTAGAACGGCAGTTTACCCCTTAATTAAAAAAAATAATACATTTACTTACCTATCATGGCATCGTTCATGAATATCTCCAATACTATTAAATCAAATTTTTCATTTGAATTAATGAGAGCTACCACGGCAGGATCGGTAAGCGTGCTGTTGGTTACTCTGTGTCCAAAATCATAAATCCCTTTGATTATGTCTATGGGACCTTTTTGAATATTGCCCAGCAAGTTTGAAGTGATGGCTGTGATAGTAAAAAAAATCATTCGTCATGTTGGTTGTCACTCCACGATTACAAAAGCCGAAAACGATTTGATAAAATTTTGCTAATCATCATCACATTCATATACTCACATCCCACAGCAGCGAATATCGTAGTTGTCGTAATATCACGGTAATTCTTCAGAGGCTTCTGTTGGGGAAACGGGCTTATCACAGTCATCTAAAAGAGGAAACAATCATATCACTAAAATGCACCGACCATCACTTATCACCTTCAAAATCACCTCATGACCGTTTTTGGCCAACGCCTTCATCAAGGCCGATCCCACTATGTAGTGTGACTTGGAGGCCGTTGGGAAAACGCCAAGAATTTTAGCCGGTTGGACATTTTGAATCGAAGCAATCAGCACACTGCTGATCAACAATAGCCATCGAAATTTCATTCCTAACTAAGCACTTTCATACACCAAATGAATTTGAAAAGTGGAATATACTGAAGGAGAAGCGCGATTCGAACGACGAGACTTGTACGAATGAACTGTGTTTTGGCGGTGAGCAGTCGAATTCGTCGTCGATACCTATAGGGTAGGTGTTGCAGTAGTTGGGGTATGGGGGTATGGGGGTTGTGTCAGAATAGTGAGTGAAACCTGGATAAGGTTATTTTCCATCGATAGCTCTCCTAAAATATAGCATATTTGCATTTTTCAAACTTTAAACTAGCCCAAAAATGACGGAAAACAATTTCCTTAGGGCAAGTTTTCAAAAATGTTTACAATTTAATTACCAAATAATATTTTTCTAGCAAATTAGAGATCGAAAGCTATAGTTTGACGTGTAAAAACTGTACGTACATGGTTTATAAATAAATTGTCTTAGTTCCTCCACAACTGGCTCACCCACCCTATGTCCAATTCCACAATTTTTTGTAGATAAAGTGCACATAAGAGACACCCGATATCTACACCCTGTATAATTGTGGTGTATGGTGGTGTAGCACCGGTGTAGCTACATCACAAAAACAAAAGGACAAATGAGACAGCTAGTTTTACATAGTCAGACCTGTTCTCCTGGACATGGTAGGAGATTGGGGTTCTTCAACAAGACCCCTGTCTCTATCTTCCTACTATTGTTATTATTATTTTTCATTCTGGAAATCGTCTCTATCTTATCTAGAAAAGAATATCTACACAGGTATTGGTTTGAATTTGTTTCAGGTATATTGCTAGGCCGACCATACTGAAGAGACTAAAATATATTGCTAATTGCATCTGAAATTGGACTACCCCAAAAAATGCAAAAAGTGTGATAAAAGAGCACCTCAAATCGTTTTCGTGTCTTCAGAGCACTTATTACTTGCATCACAAGGAAGAAGTGCACCGAGGACACCAAGACGGAAACTCACATTTTTAAATAAGTTAAAACGCGCTATTAGTCCAGCTTGGTGCGCAATATATTGAACACTTGCATTTCGAACTGAACTTTATGCACCTCTCAGTGCTAGGTGGCATTGCTAATAGCTCACTGATCGTCTATCCACTTACACTCAAACAATATTGAAATCTGAATAGTATAAAAGTTACGCTAAATCGTAACTCTCCAGCAACGTACTCTGAAAAAGTTTTCACATAGTTACGCACATAATACTTTTCAAGTAACAAAATTAATGATTTTTATCTGAATATCACATAACATAATGAATTCTATGTGAATAACCATATTTATTTCATGATGATGATGATGATGATGATGATGATGATGATGATGATGATGATGATGATGATGATGATGATGATGATGATGATG